TAAAAAAAAGATTAAGACATACCATTTTAAAGTATCTCTTCCTGAGAAGAATTAGCTATATTGATAAAATAAATAAGGATGTAAAAATTAAACCACAAATAATTGTATGCACATTTTTCTAAAATTGTTACCAATATTTATTTATTTTTTTTTTTTTTTTTTTTCGAGACAGGGTTTCTCTGTGTCTTAATGGTTTAGTTAGCAGTTAGTTCAGAACCAATACTGTGGTATCATGTTTTCCTTGCATGACATCTAAGACTGCACAGAACATGTGTATAAGAAGGGGTCTGAGTCAAACTCAATAATCCTAGAATTAGGCCAAAAGCAGAATTCAAAGTTTTATTTACTCTACTTTGGTACTAACACAGGTTTGTAAGGACCTATGAAAAGGAGAGAGGAAAATACTTTAACTGTAGTTACTTTACAGCTGTTACATCTCAGTTTTGGGATTCTGACAGAACTCTTAAAGGCCCTGGATTCAATCCTCAGAATGGCAAAGACAGTTAGAAAGCAATCAACTTTTGGGACGGTGAGTTTGTAGATACTTCCGTGGTCACTGCTCTCATACACTAAATACACTTTTCATCTCATAAAGGAGTGAAGTTACTCTGCAACAGTAATCTCTGTGACTCTACAGTCATACAAAGACATCTTCAGTATAGTTGGTTTTAGTGTATGTGCTGCCGAAATGAATATCATATAGGTTTTATTTTATGAGAAGAAAACTTTGCATACTTCTTTCACAATATTCATGTCTGAACTCTTTATACAACATCCCTCTGATTATATCATTTTTATTTACCCAAATGATTTAAAGTTACTGGTTCCAAATTTTTATTGACTAATTTGTATTTTAAGGAAAATGAGTATATATTTTCTCTAGCATATAACAATGTGTGATCCTTTGATATAACTTGCAGCAAATATTAGTTCATGGAATCTTTATATTCATTTTGGGACAATATTTTAAATTTTGATGGAATAAAAATATTTTTAATAATAAAATTATATTGGATAGAAATCTATTAATTAAAATAATAAAAGAATGTATTTCATATGATCACATATATAAATACTTACTATATTTTACTTCACATGTAAAATGCATTACATTTGTCTATGGGTTTAATTTGTATAAGTGCAGGAATAACACTAAACAACACTAATTTCCCTATGAATTTCATTAAAATCATTAGAAACACTTCAAAATTCATGAACATCAATAGAATAGCTGTGACCCCAAACAGGAAAACACTGACAGAAAACAGTATGTACACTTTGAAATTACTAAGAGATCAAACTGAATGAATAATAAGCAGTATATTTTTGACAAGGTAAAATAAGAATGAAGATATTAGAAGATTATGAAAATATCAGAATACCTTCTATAATCTTGAGTCACATTGTGTGGCATTCAGACATAAAATAGATCCCGAAGTTGTGCTGAAGTTTCTTTCTGACCTCTCTGGCCTGTATGTAAAGCAATCATCTTCTCTTTTTTTCTTTTCTTTTGTTAGAGTTCATGGCAAAGGAAATGACTGGCTTTATCATATTCCATCAAGTATGAAGTTTACCTGGATCATACTCACCTCCCATGTTTTCATCCCTGTGTGTGTGTGTGTGTGTGTGTGTGTGTGTGTGTGTGTAAATGTGGTAAAGGTATGGTTTCATTTTTCTGTAGTATCCTTTATTTGACTGAAGGAAATTCCTTCAAGGTTGATACCACTGTTCCAGACCCTTCCCTGGGGGTTTCTTCATATAACCCAAGGAAGCTACTCACTGAGACAAGAATAAGCTGAAAAGTGTCACTATGCCTAGACAGACTTTTCATATCTACTTGTGAAACTCAGAATAGCAGGGGGACTTTACAGGAAAGGGATCTTAGCTCTCAGAAAAAAATGTCCCCACCTTCTCATATGCCAGGGGAAATTTAACAAAGTGCTTGTCTTCCACTGGGTCCATGAATGTTATCTAACAATGATCTATTATCTTTGGAAGTGGCCTACACCCTTCTTTGCCCTGCTGTCTTTAAACAGGGTTGATATATGTCTGATCTCATTCGCTTCTGACTAACCATTACCCTTGCTTCCCGTGTGTTTTGAATGCTAATCATTAGTATCCTTTTGTCCTGTTCAACCTTTTCAGCACACTGGAACACTAGGAGAGAGGGAAATAAATCTCCCTTGCCTCTAAAAGAGGAAAATAACACAAATTTCTTAAAATATCAAGTCACTAATATAATTAATTATCTATATTATTTTCAATTAACTCTCTCACATTTGGCATGATGCATGCATTCTCTCTTTTAAGGATACATTGACACTCTTGCCAGAAAGGTATTTTATTCCTGAGTTCATGGCTTATTCTCTTTCATAAAATGAAGAATTGTGTGGTCTCTGTTTTGTTAAATAAAAGGTTCACTTTTATGTCATTTTTATCACTTGTAAATATCAAGGATCTGATATTTACCTATGTATTTCACGTGGCTTACAAAAAATTACATCGTTTATATAGTATGTTTTTGCAAGAAATTTCACTAATGCAATGGCTTATTCTACTGCTATAGCAAGGATAATAATTTCTAATCAATTCTCAACAAATGACTTTGTAAGTCTGTAATATTTATTTTTTTAATTATATGTATATATGTGTGTGTATGTGAGTATGTGCAGTGAGTGATGGTGCCCTTGAAGGACAGAACAACTTGGGGAGGAGACGGTGAAAAGAGAATGGAAGAACTAGATGGGTAAGAACTGGAGAAAATCGGCGGGAGAGATGGCTCAGTGGTTAAGAGCACTGACTGCTCTTCCAGAGGTCCTGAGTTCAATTCCCAGCAACCACATGGTGGCTCACAACCATCTGTAATGAGATCTAGTGTACTCTTCTGGCCTGCAGTCATACATGCTGTATACATAATAAATAAATCTTAAAAAAAAAAAAGAACTGGAGAAGAATGAACTGAGATAGTGAAGAACTAGACTGAAGGGCTAGAAGAGAGTACTAGAGGAACGAGATGGAAGATGGGGAAGAGCCAGATGGGGAAGAGCCAGATGGGGAAGAACAAGACGAGAAAGGAGATGGGAGGAGCTGAGATGGGAAAGAACTAGATGGATGAGAACCTAGATGGGGCAGAACTAAGATGAGAGAATTAAGTTAAACAATAGAGGGGAGAGCAGATAAATGTAGAGAGAAATCAGGCAAGAAAGGAGCGAGGCATGAAAACAGAACAGAAGCTGTGTAGACAGAACTGACTCAGAAGAATAAAAAAGTGTGTGGACTAAGGAGTTTCCTGTACATCGTTTCATTTCTTTTCATCAAAGATAATTATCAGCTGGTTGAAGATTCCTCCCAGACTCTGGGAGGGGACTACCAAAGGACTGGATCCCCATAGTCCTCGTTACCACCCCATCCCCAAAACAGCTATGCGACTTGTCCTACAACCTTAGAAGTGTGTTCCTTATTTATTGGGCCCTTTTATTGCTGTGCATCGTCAGAAGGATGACTTCTTCCAATACTGTGTAATTCTGGTGAGTAAAAACAAGCCCTCATAGTTCAACCTTTGTTCTACAAAATGGTGAGAAACTTTGAAGCCTGTTTTCCATATTTAGCTAAGCTGACAGGGCAAGTTAGCCAGACTAAGTATCTCTGTGTAAGGATCCCAAGTCAGACTTTTACAGATATTATTCAAGGACAAAAGTGTGGGGCTGGAGAGATGGCTCAGAGGTTAAGAGCACCGACTGCTCTTCCAGAGGTCCTGAGTTCAATTCCCAGTAACCACATGGTGGCTCACAACCATCTGTAATCAGATCTGGCGCCTTCTTCTGTATACATGATAAATAAATAAATCTTAAAAAAAAAAAAAAAGTGCAGATGTCTGGTTTGTTGAATCAAAGTCTTTTGGGCACAAAAGCAACCTAAATTGCCCTAATTTCCCCAACCAGTTCCAGCTGATAATACACGGACTGGCATCTGGTGGAATTCCCTAAGCAATTAACACTTTGCACATACTTCTAACCTGTTTATGGTACAAGATTTTAAACTCAGCTAATTGTTTAAGTCCTGGATTTTATGTGGCTAGCAGGTAATTAACCAGTTAATCAATTAACCAAGTCCAGAGAGAATCAGCTTTGTGCCCAATTCCTGTGGGAGAGGTTCCACAAATCAGAACTGCAGAGAATGATCTGGTCCCATAGACCTGAATAAAAGTTCCAACTGTCCCCTCTTGTGCTCTGGGCTGTATGCAGGATGAGAAAAGATATCTTTAGACTTGGGATGTTTTTAGTGCCAGCCAGCTTTCGTCAAAAGTGCTGATAAGACTTGGCACTGTTCGCTTCCCTGCTTGCTTTATGTGGGTTGCCGTAGTTACTCATAGTTCCCTGATGCTTTTACATTTTGCTGAATACAAAATGTTGTCCTGTAATGCTAATTTCACCGTAGAAATGCAGGTTTGTGCATGATTCCTTACTCCTTCCTTGATTTCCCTATGGTTCAACCTTTCTCCTTTGTAACCCTTGTAGCTGTCTCCTTAAGAGATAATGTTACAAGGTAAACTTTTTCAACCACAGCTGCAGCTGCCCCTTATCACTTACAAAGGCATTCACCTTGACCCTGAGAAGCTTTTGTAACCTTCTTTATCTCCAGAATTTGCTGTTGTATGTGTATATAAGCTATGGAAAGTTGAAGCTAGAGCAGAAGAATAAGAGAGCATGACAAACAGTTCGTGTGTGAATTTATTCTAGATAAGAAATTTTTCCATTCCCCTCTACTCTGAAAACCATTCTTTTCTGCTACCCTGCATGCAGACCTAACAGCTGGTCTTTCAGGCTGCAATGGCCTCTTAACTTTTCACAGGTTCAGGTCAAACGGTATTACTACTTGATGTTTCAATTTCTTTTCTTCTGTCCCCCAATTTGAGCTAACCATATTTAGATAACTACAAAGCTGGTGCAATGATAAAAAAAATCTCTTAACATCTTTAAATGCCTTAGGCGGAGTAGAACTGACTGGAAAAAAGTGGCACACAGGATGTGGGGGAGGGTTGTCCCACCAGCTGAAATGAAGTTATCTTCACCTATGTTGACAGTTGTGGTTCTGAATTCACCAAGTTCTCTTCCATGGGGATGGCAGTTTTCTTCCTAAATGTTTATAAGGAAATAGATTACGAGTGTATTTCACTTATGAAGGAGAAAACACATTAAGCTCTACTAATTTAATGAATTGAAAAACTATGCCTTGAAGCATGGCATTTTTATCAAAAACCCTTTACTAACCAGAAATCTCCTGTGGTTCCACAGTTCTCAAACATGTTAAAGATGTGTTAAAGTCAGTGCATCCTAGAGCATGAACCCAGAACCTAAGAGTGTGGTGCCGAGACACCAATCTCCACACTCTAAGGTTTTAACCACATTTATAAAAAGGCCTTACAGCAGCAACCAGTCTCCATCGGGCACCTTAACTGCGCCCTAGTCAAGAGGACTGGAGTCCAAGGCCCTTGACACACTCAGAAGAGGATGAGTTTGGGTGTCAATCACGTGACTCTAGTTCTGAAGCAGGCAATGCAGCATCTGAAGTCATGGCACGCGCCACACCCGCGCCTCCGTGCGCGCCGCCACTCACTTGAACCCGGTCGCCATCTTCCCGCCCGCGCCGCGCCTGCGCAGCCCGCCGCGCCTGCGCCCTTCCCTCTGCAGGCGTGTCTCCAGCCCGGGGGACTTGGAGCAGTCCTGGGTGAGAGAAGCTCCTCCTTCCGTGGAGGCTGCCGTGTTCCCGGGCACGGGGCGTGAACTCCAGCTCCGGCGAGCTCGAGAGACCCACGAGCAGCTGCTTAGGACCAGGCCTGTTGGGGACTGCCGGGTCGGTGCGGCTCAGAACCCCCACGGGCCTGTGCGCACGTGCACACACGCGCACACGCACACACACACGCGCGCGCGAAATAAACGGGGAGACTGTAGCAGTCCATGGCTCCCGGCATCATTAGATGGCATGGGTGTGAGGCTGGGAGCGCCGTCAGTTTGCAGATGTCCCGCGCGTTGCACTCAGGGGCCGGCTGTGCAATCCTTCGCGAAGCCGCGCGAGGGCGCTGTGGGTGGCGTCGGGCACCTGCCGTGGCGGGGCGCGGCCGCGAGGTGGCGCTGTGGGCGGCGGCCTCGGGCCAGCAAGGCCTCTCCTGTGGGGCGGGGCGGGGCGGAACGGGGCGCGGCGTCGCGCGCCGCTTCCGCGAATGTGGAGCTGCGGGATGGCTTCGCTGCTGCTGCAGCTGGCGGGGCTCGGCGTGGCGCTGGCGGTCGCCGGGCTCATTTTGGTGAGACCGTGGTGGATTCCCGTGCTCCGGGCTTCCCTATCCGCGCTTCCCACTCGTTTTCGGGCCTCTGGCACCCAGATCCCCTGCAATGCTTGACCCTGTTTCCCCTTCGGAACCTTGTCTAAGTGACCAGTCTCCACCCAGCTTCCCCAGCCCCCTGCTCGTGGACCCTCGCCGGCCTACCCTTCATCCCCCAGCCTTCCTACTGGGCCTCCAGACTGCACTTCTGACCCTCCTGGTGTGCCATGTGCTGCAGCCAGGAAGAGAGCTGGGGACCCAGTGGACTAGGGACTGTGAGTGAGCAAGAGACAGGCCCAGACCTTGTTCTTGTCCTTTCGGCCAGGGGTCGTTTTTTCCCGAATCAAGCACCTTAGCATTGCCTTTGCCATTCTTATAGAAACGTTGCAGACCCTTGCTGGTATGTAGAAGAGGGCAGATTCGCCTACCGAACTCTGCCACACAGTACTGAAATAACCTGCCACTCATTCAGTAAACGGAGATTCTGAAAAGCTTCCTTGGTGTTAGACAGTTGGCCAGGAAGGCCTTTGCCGCCTTGCCATGCATGTATACTCACAGTCTAGGAATGGTATAGCCTGATGACTTTGTTGCTGTGTGTCTGGGTGAGCCTAAAATGCCTGCCTTAAAGGCTTGAAACATCTGGATTTTGTTGGCACAGTTCTGAGTTGAGGCTGCCTTACTTTGAATGTGCTGCGCAGATTTAGATGGGTGGGTGCACGGTGGGGTTGTGTGGACTGTATTAGATGCCACTGGCTGGGAGTGGAAGCGGTCCCCTTTATTTCACTGCATGCATGCTGCACTTGGCATGCAGTGAGCTGCATCTTGAAACACATTGTCCGTCCACTCGCTGTCATCCTTTCTCTCCATGGTGTCCCACTTCTTAAAGTCATTTAAAAACAAATCCAAATAACATTTCAGCTGTAACTCATCTGCATTCATTTCTATCAGGACCCTCTTTTAAAACTGTGACTGCAATAAGGTAATTCCAACCGTCTTTAAAAACCTAACTAGTATTTCTGAGGTTCTAAAGACCCTGTCAATTTAAACACTCTGGGTTTGCCAGTGTGGATTTCACAGATTGCCTCCCCAAGCGTCTTTAACTTGGTCTGCCCTCCAAATTTCTTGTAGGATCTGGAGATTTCATTACATTCACGTGTGAGTCTTTTTGATGGCTGTGGGGGTGTCCCCAGGTTTCCAGTGAAACACCTTTTATATCCGGAAGGTCAAGTCTTTAAGATGCTGAGATGTTTCCCTGGTGTCTTAAAACGGTGGCCAGCTTTTATTCTTGTATTATTAGAGACTCCAGGTTTCCTACATGTTTCCAGCCACTGCAGTGATTATTCATGTGATGCTGCCATCCCTACCTCACAGGCCCAAGCAGCACTTCAAGTGACCCACCTGTCCCTTTCCCTGAAGCCCTCGTGGTGACGGATAGATTTTGCTTTCTGTATAACATGCTGTGTTAACATACACCTTCCCAACCCGGATCTGAGTTAATTGTCTCTTAGGAACATTGATTGCTCGCTGGGAAAACTGCATTCAGAAGTCACAACCTGGACAATAGTGTGCACAGCCAGGCTCTTCTTTTTTTTTTTTTTTTTAAGATTTTTTTTTTTAAGTGTGTGTGTGTGTGTGTGTGTATGTATGTGTGCCTGCACATGAGTGCAGAAGTCAGAGACCGTGGGTCCCTGGAGCTGTACTTACAAGCAGTTAGTTGCGAGTCTCCACATGGGTGCTGGGAACTGAACCGGGTTCCCTGCGAGAGCAGCCAGTGCCCTCCACCCCTGGCTCAGAGGAGGACCCCTAGCTGTCAGCGTGGCTGCTGCCCCTGTGCTCACACTCGTCAGTGCACACAGTGGGATACTCGAGGTAGTCGTCCAAGTAGAATACAAACGTGTAGCTTCTCTTCAAACAAAGTTCTCCAGTGAACACGGTGATACCAATTATGGCTCATCTCCAAAGCCAGCTGCCCGTGTCCTTGTAAAAGGCACTCATGAGTTTGTATGTAATATTTATTTTTATTTTGTGTGTATGAGTGCTTTGCCTGAAGGTATGTATGTATGTATGTATGTATGTATGTATGTATGTATGTATGTATGTGCAGTGGGTGCATGCCTGGTGTCCTCAGATGCTAGGAAAGGCTGCCAGATCCCTTGGAACTGGGGTTACGGATGGTTGTGAGCAGCCTGTGCGGGTGCTGGGAACCAAACCTGGGTTCCTTGCAAGAGCAGCCAGTGCTCTTAACTGCTTCAGCCCCAGGAGCCTACAAGTCTTACACTTTACTCCAGAAGATGCTGTGTTCTCAATTCAAATTAAGGATAAGTATCAGGATACATTCTTAAGTGTTACAGTCTCTGCTGTGGGGCTCCAAGGAACTTTCCTTCACAGGCTGAATCAGTTGGGACCTTCGTGTTACAGCTGCCATATGGATTTGTCCTCTCACATACATGCTCAGGCAGGAAATGGTAACTTACTGTCCATTTCTTCTTCTTGTTGTTGTTTTTTTTTAAAGATTTATTTATTATGTATACAGTGTTCTGCCTGCATGCCAGAGAGGGTACCAGGTCTCATTACAGATGTTTGGGAGCCACCATGTGGTTACTGGGAATTAAACCTAGGTCCTCTGCAAGAACAGCCTATGCTCTTAACCGCTGAGCCATCTCTCCAGCCCCCTTTCTGTCCATTTGTAAGAGTGGTCTGGACGTCCTGTTTTGACTCTTGGAAATGGCATAGAAGAGGCCTGAGGAATGAGAGGTAGAAACAAGACCTCCTAAAGCATTTAACACATTACTAATGAGGTCAAGGACAGTCGTCAGTTCATAAGGAGCTGATTAGGGGCTTGCTGCCATGTGGCAGCACAACCACCTCCAGAACACTGTTAGAGTCAAACCTGAGACTGCATATTCTCCCAAACAACAAAATGAAAATAAAAAAAATTGTGCAAATGATGTTTTAGCACAACAAATATTCAAAGAGATCAAAGTAACCTGCTTTTCATGTCTTCCTTTAGGTTTCTGTCATTGCATTTATAACTGCTACAAAAATGCCACCATTTCGCCAACATGAAGAAGAGAAATTCTTCCTCAATGCCAAAGGCCAAAAGGAAACTTTACCCAGCATCTGGGACTCACCCACCAAACAGCTGTCTGTTGTGGTGCCTTCCTACAATGAAGAGAAACGGTGTAAGTTCTACTTGAGTTCCTTCCCTGATGGGTCCTTAGGGAAGAAAAGGAACCATGCAGTGTTCACACTCACTGAGAGGAGTGTGTGGTTGGCAGCTGGGCTTGGGAAGAGGGAAAGTGAGATGGCAGGATTGAGGTTTTCTAGAGAAGTCCTAGGATGAGAACAAGAGACGTTCTGGGTGAGAATGGCCGGAGTGACGTCCCAGAGGCTCTTGGTAGGTGACAGGCACACCTTCCCTGTGTGAATGGAGTGTGCTGGGCTAGCTAACTCATTTTCAAAAGCAATCTCTAAAATATTTTTCCCTTTAGTGCCTGTGATGATGGATGAAGCCCTGAACTACCTAGAAAAGAGACAGGTATCACACTTCTCTTTCAATGTCACACCTCCAGTTAAAACTAAAGCAGGTCACCAATTGTAGACCCTGAGCTAGGAGCACTGTGGGAGGCAGGCCCAGCATGCAGCATGCTCCCTCCAGAGGCAGACAAACCAGGAAGCTGGCATTCTCTGATGTACCCTCCCCCACCTCCTAATTCTCTCTTGCCTGGTGATATATTATAGATTGTGTACCCATGAAAAGTGTGCAGGCTCACTACTATGATGTCTTTAAAAGAGGTGTATATGTGTGTGTATATATTCATGTACAGAGATCCATTGGAGTCTTTATAACATAGTCTGTAGAACTTTGCTTCTCAAATGAATTCACATTGATTACATGATACAAAGGTACAGTCTTAAATTTTTTAATTATAAACTAATCACACAAAAATAAAATATTTTAATACAACCTTCCCTCAGAAACAATCCCAATATTGGGCTTATTTGCATCTAAACATGCATGCAGGCACTCAAACATCCTAGGCAGGCATACTACAGGGGCTGTATATCCAACCCTAAAAGATGTCTATTTTTTAATGCTTGCACTTTTTATATTCAGAAGCACAGTAATTCACATCTTTTTGGAGTCATCTTGGGACAGTTAAAGATGGAGTGAGCTCTATACCTCATCTGTTTCTATCTCTGTCTAGAACTTTCCTTATATTGCTTTGCTTTGGGTTCTAAGACAGATTTCTTGACTGAAAAGGACTACTGCAGACTTGAACTTGTGTAAAGCAGAGGTGAACTGGGCTCCTCCTGTAAGGCTGAGGATTGGCACACATGTTGAATTTCCCTCTGCCCTAGACCTCAGGGACTTCTTTCTCATATGTGGCTCTCCTCCCTGGTCTGCCTTAGCATCACAGATACATGCTGCCTCCACTCATGTGTTGCGGGGTAGATGTCTACCCACCATCTGTCCTGTTCCTTCTGAGCCTTTTGTATTTCATGTGGTTTGTTACTACTGTCTATATTTGTCACT